ATCCCCATATGACCCCCCCCCCAAAAAAAAAAACAGAAAATGTTCACAAAACCATGACTAGCACGGTAGAGGACAATCTTGAGTAGGATAAAATTTCTCTTTCACACTTACTCTCTCAAATGCTTCTTACATCCATCACATTTCTCTTTCTCTTTCTCTCACATGCATATTATGCGTGTATCTGCATCTGTGTAGATTCTACCCTACATAAGGACTCTTACCATATATATCCTTTGTATTGTAAGTCTCTCTCTTGTCTTTCTCTCTGTCTCTCTCCCTTTCCCTCTCATGTCATTGTGAATTGAATTAAAGGCTCACACGTACTATCAAAATGCTCTTCAAATCAAACCTATCCCCATCCTTTTTTATTTTATATAGTCACGTACTATCAGTAGAAGATTTATTTGATTTGAAACATAATCCATTTTAAATGCTAAAAATCAGTGAAAAAAATTGCTTGTCTTCTAAATTCAAATAAAAAGTGAAATAAACTGCAAGTAACTTAATTTACACTACATTTTATGATTAAAATTTTGTCAGTAATTCTCCTGTGAAAAGTTAATGTAATTTCTAAGATACATTTTACCTGTTATATATCTGCTGTCTCCCTTTTAAGAGAACTATGTAGAAAGAAATAGAACAGGAATTGTGTTTTTAAACAAATCATTGTTAAGCACATACATTGGCAGAATATGAAATATGACTTTTTATATTTCATAAAAACAGAACAAAGTATAACTGTGACCTGCTGAATGCATTGTGAGTCAGGTGAGACTGAAGAAACATGTGCATTTATTTGTCATGTTTGGCTGAGCATCTCTTTCAGCTGTAGATGCTGGCATAAAATGAGAAAGGCCTTGAGTTTGGTCCACAATAGTGGAAATAAATAAGATGCTTCCTTAGTTTCTTCATTATCAAGTATAAAGGCTGACATTTTTCTAATATCATTAAAAATATAAAGAAATTATTTGTTACATTGGCAATTATCCTGTGCCAATTTTATTTATTAGCATGATGGCTCTTACTATCAAAAGGAAGAAAAATCTCATGAAACAAAATCAATCCCTGTATTTAGCATTCAACTTGGTTTTATTAGCTAAGTAAATAACCTAAATAATTCATTTTGCATTAACATTTGCATCTGTTTTATTAGAAATTTCTACATAAAAATAATTATATGAATTTCAGATGTTTTTGCTCATGAGAAATGAAGTATAATTAAATGTAGTTTTCATAAAATATGAATTTGTCTCTGACAATATTGCTTCTTTCACAATCCAATTTGGTCTTATGGGATGTATGAGTACACTTGTTCTCCTACAAATTTTTGTAGTTATGTATTATTGACTATCCCTTCTCTCTTACAATCTTTATGTGGTTTTAGAGATTTAACTCACTTTCCAGGTGTTTATGTTTCCACCATTTCCAATCATGTATCACCTACACTTCAGAGTCACCAGTGGGTCCATAGAGCATAACTCTAATATAATCATGTATGCCACACAGGTGGGACAGAAACCTTCATCAACAGGTGCCATCAGAATTTTAAGAAAAAATATATGAATGACAATAAATATTGATATAAAGCAGTAAAGAGGAAAATAAATCCTTCAATGCTTAAATGATGTGTTGTTTGGAAGATTGATGGCTTTATTTAAAATTTAGCATAATAGTTAGTAATAAAGAGCTAAAGGTAATAAAGTAAAGAGGAATTGGTGGACCCATTAGAAGAGGTCCAGGGGAGTGTGTTACTGTGTCTGTGTGAGGAAACATTGGGAACCCATATAAACTCCTCAATCCTGTCAGGTCTGTAGATTTTAGAAAGACATCCAAGAGGGCAGATACTAGAAATTAAGAGATTACTAAAGTAACATGGTCAAATTGTACATAAGATTGAGGGAATATGCTCTGAGTGTGGTTTCAGAATGAGAGAGAACTGTGTAAGCATTATAGATCGAACATAACTCTCCTTGGTGCAAAACAACAATGTCTTTTCACTGTAATTCCCAGATGCTCTATGTTTGGAACAACCATGAGCTCAGTCAGTTGTAAATCTGTAAATGAGGACTGAAGACACAGGTATCTCTAAGGTAGTTTGTTTGATCTCATGGGATTTAGAGAAAGGATGTCAGTTCTTATAGAACCCCATGGTGGTCATCTCTCTCTCTCTCTCTCTCTCTCTCTCTCTCTCTCTCTCTCTCTCTCTCTCTCTCTCTCTCTCTCTCTCAGATACGTAGAATCAGTATTGGGGGGCAGGTGTCATAACCTCAGTATTGATAACAGATTTTTTAATAGTATTTGGCATAAAACTATTAATTATTGTCTACCAAAGGTTGACAAAACATTTCTAAATGAGAAACATTTGAATGTTTTGTGTAACAGGAAGCTTCTGTCAAAATCAATAAACTCTTTTTTGAAGTACCAACACAGATGTGATAATTTGTAATTAATGGGCTCAGCTATAATTCATTTAACTTTACAAATCCAGTAGGCTGGATTTGTTCATGAGTCACCATGTGTTAACCTCCAGTATATGTTGCAAAAAGAGTATTGTGAACCAAATTCTTCAACTGAGTCATTAAAATAGATGGCTATGCTTGGATGTTCACTAAGAAAGAAACTTTTAAAAGTCTTAGCAGTATTATTTCAAAATGAAATGAGATTAAAATGAAAGGCAAGATTTCTTTGTGGATTCTCCAAGCTCTGAAGCAGAAAATATTGTGAATTATACATTATAGCCTTACCATTAATATAGACACTAGGTTATAAAAATCAGGGTGAGTTTTTATTCTAACTACATAGAATTTTAATATGTTTGAGTTTTTAAAAGGGAGTTTATAATTGTAGCATGCTGAGAAGAGTGAGAATTATTCTGGACTAAAAATTAAAAATAGAGGGAAATCAAGTACTCACCACAGTCCTGTTAGAGATTCTGCTCTTAATTGCTCCAAGAGGAGTCATCTTTCCATTCAATATAATTTTAAAAACCTATTTTCCTTTCGTCATCTCATGTTTGTTCATACATTTTCTATTTCATTTTTCTACATTCTTTTTCTTCTTCTTTTTTTTTTCAAGTGTAAGGAAGTTTGAGTTTTCTCTTTCTCCTTGTAGCCAGAGGGATCCCTGGCTCTAGGTGCTAAAACATAGGTTGTGTCTTCCTTTGGAACCTCCTCTCCTACAGCATCATTACACCTCTGTCTATCTCATCTGCTGACTTGTTTCTGTAATACTGCCAATTCCTTTGGGACTCTGATTAATGAAAACTGAATGGTGTGGCGAAGCAGATTGCAGGGGATCTTGGGTGGCAAAGATGTTTGCCATGAGGAATCAGTCCCCAGAACCACATCTTCTATGTGCTCCTGTTGGTTTCTTTTGTTACCAGTTTTTCTTTGCACATTATTTGGTTCAGAAATTCAGAAATTTTACTTTTCTTAAAAAAAACTGTTAACAAGTGCAAAGGAAAGTCTTGCTTTGCTTTCTTCACGAGGAAATATGCCAAATGCATATTGAGTATAAAGCTAATTTCCCTCACATTTCTGTATCGGTTATGTATTCTTACTTTTTATTCTTTGTGGTTTAAAATCTTATAGCCCTAATGCTATTGACTGGAGGATGGGGAAAATAAAACTTTTATACTCCTTCCTGGTTCATAATTCAAACTGCTATCACAACAAAAGGATATAAACTCACTTGAATCAAGTATTATTCATAAAGAGTTTCTGAGAAAAAGAGATACTATAAGCTACATGTTTTCATCTCTATTTGATGAAGCAAGGGCACTGGTAGGAAACAATAGGAAGAGTGCTAGGTTGGGGGATTCTGAAGGTGGTCTGTTAGCACTCTTCTATGGAAATTTAGATGTGCATTTTCTCTGGAAGATTTGAAAGGTACCTCTCAAAGGTCAAAAAATCTGACCTATGTTTTATGACCTATCTTAGGGGGAAAGTGGGCAGAGAAGGTCAGAGAGACTTCTCTGTGTCTTTCCTTTTTCAATATGCCATTTCATACAGTTTTGGTGGTATATCTTGAACTCTGTCTACACAAAGCATAAGTCAACCTGCTAGAAAGGTTCTTTTCATTAGCTGAAAGCTAAGTTACTGTGAGGTCAGAAGGCATAACTCTTACTGCCTTCCATTTAGTAGCCTAAATCTAAAGACTTTATTCTGTTACAATAAATTAATAACAGAAATGATACAATAATAAATATTCTATTAAATACATAGACAAGCTCTATTAAAATAAGAATTGAGATAACAGTTACTGACCATTTGAAAAATCTTTGTTGCAGGAGAGATGATTCAGCTTGTGAAGTCTCTTTGCACAGACTGTGATGATCTGAATTTGATCTCTGTAGACCCATAGTGTGAAATTAAAGAACCAATTTTTGCAAACTGTCCTCTGGTTTCTACATTCATGTCACACATGTAACAGCATGTCAACACACACACATACAAAATAAGCATGAAATGAAAACCTCTCCAAAATTATGATAGATAGACTGGGGAAGTAGCTCAGAACTGTGGGCATTAACTAGCATATGCTATGTACTTAGGGAAGGTGGGAGCAAAGAAGGACGCCTATTATAGAAGTTCCCTGGCACAATTGCTACAGTGGTTTACTTAGGCCTGAAGTCATTTTCTGAGGCAGGTTAGGAACATGAAGACATCCACTAAAACTCTTAAAGTCTATGATGGGATCTAGCTAAGTTTTATTGCTATATTTTAGGGTATATAACATATTTCATTAGTATATGTTACTATAAAAATGATTCCTAATACTTTCTGTAGCTACTTCTGAACATATCTTTGCATTTGAAATAAAAACGAAAATGAAGAAATTTATCTGAGCTGTGAACTTTAGGGGAATGAAGGTTTTCAGTGATGTATACAACTGCCTGCCATTCTCACAGTAACTCAGTAGGCTCAGCTAGGGAAGCTTTTCTTTGGATCATTAAGTGAATCTCCCTATTCACTATTGCTATTTCACTGTGTTGTTGGCAGCTTCCAATCCTTGTGCAGCCAATGAGGGTAGAGGCCCCTGCTCTCATCTGTGTCTCATCAATCATAATAGGAGTGCAGCCTGTGCCTGCCCCCACCTGATGAAGCTTTCCTCTGACAAGAAAACCTGCTATGGTAAGTTTCCCACAGTTCCCAGGCAAAGCTGAATAGAAATAGTTCCGATTCTGCAAGCATTCAGATTTTCCAGAGTAAAGTGGAAAAGGTTTTGAATATCAACACATTAGCTGGGGCTACTGGCAGCCACTAGGATTCAGCTATTTCTGGGGAAACTGACAGTCCTTTAAAATGTAGGATGTTACATTTCCTGTTTATTACCTTATTCATTTTTTTACTATTTTTTTTATTTGATATGTTAGCAAAGTTTATCTCTGTAAAACAGAGATGTGTGAGTATAAGTGTGCTTCAAGGAAGTGATGACTTAGGAAGTACTCATCAGCTTTAATTTCCTGATCACTTAACAGGGCATTGTCAACCTGAAGGGGAAAATGAAAACAAACCAACAAACTGTATCTGTATAGTTTTGATATATATATATATATATATATATACATATATATATATATATATTGCACAAAATGGTTTCTTTGAAGTGACTTGATCTATAGGGCAGAAAATGGAATCATTTACCAGAAGTTAAATTACAAGTCTATTACTAGTGGCTTTAATTCTGTGCAGTTATTATAGGGTAAGACCAGACTCCTCTGATACAGGTTAATGTTTATTTTTTTCTCTAATTTTTATTATTTTTTTCTTATTTTACATATCTATCCCAGTTCCCTTACCCTCCCTTCCACCTATGCTGCCCTATTCACCCTCCCATCCCATTCCCCACCCACTTCAGAGGGAGGGTGAGTCCTTCCAGGAGGGATCATTAAAATCTGTCAAATAATTTGGAATAGGAACTAGGCCCTCCCTCCTGCACTAGGTTAGGGGAGTATCCCACCATGGGTAATGTCTTTCCAAAGTCCTTTCATTCATCAGGAATACATCCTTGTTCCACTGTCCAAGGTCTCTTAGACTATCCAGGCGTTCTAATTGAGACCCATGTTCAGGGGGTCTGAGTCTGGGGTCCATGAGCTCACCCTTATTCGGGTCAGCTGTCTCGGTGGGTTTCTATAGCCTGATCATGACCTCTTTGCTTATCACGTTTATGTCAATTAATAACTTATAAAAGAACACAGAAGGCCATCAAGCAGTAATTAAGACAAGAGGTACTTGAGAAAGCAAACATTTGGGATTGGGAGCTGCAAGTTCCACCAAACCAGAGGGCCAAGCTGGAGACATTAGTGTGTGTCCCGCCTTTTACCATAATGAAGTTATGTAGCAAGTTCTATACCCATGACATGGGTGTGTGCATATTACAGACATGAAGAGGCATCTCATTACCCTAAAAGGTGAAACTCCACAAAGATATGACAAACACCCATCAGCTAGTGGAGATTATAGGAAATAGAGCATGCTATTGATTTTAAAGATCCCTATAGAGAACCCAGGAGTTGTATGTCAGACACTCTGTCTTAATATGTATGAAAAGTAGTGCTATAACAAGAGAGTATACCAAGGATGCTCATCTTAAATTAGTGGCTGTCTCAAAATAATAGTATACCAATCACAACCAATACTAGAATAGCTATAATTCCCATATCACAAATGGTACATGAGGAGTGTCAAATTACTTCCCAATACCAGGACAAAAATTTACAATAAAACCTGGAGACTACCTGCGCCCTAATTTTGATAGGAAATACATGAATTGACATGAATTGAATTTTTAAAAAACTAATCCCCAATATTTTTCATTAACTTTTTTTTTGGATGATTATGCATTCTTTTTTTTTCCCAAGATAGGATTTCTCTGTATTGCTTTGAAGCCTGTTGTGGAAATCTCTCTGTAGACCAGGCTGGCTTCGAACTCACAGAGAGTCTCCTGCCTCTGCCTCTTAAGTGCTGGGATTAAAGGTGTATGACACCAATGCCAAGCTAGGATAAACATTTTTAAGTACTTTATAAGCCATTTAATAAAAGGCAATTTTATTCTAATTATATACCAATATGAAATATGGTTGTTGAGAGCATATATACAGTGATTTCTGGGTTTTTGTTTGTTTGTTTTCCATTTGTGTTGTTTCTTTTGAGACAGCTTCTCAGTATGTAGCCATGGATGGCCTGGAACTCAGAGATCTGCCTGTACCTCCAAACCTGACTTTCGTAAGCAACATATTGCTATGTTGAGATGAAATCAAGTACTGAGAATTTCTTGACATTTCAAGCTAAATGTTATTTAAAGATTTCTTTTTAGCTGTTTGTTCTAAGTACCTTGAGATGATCTATATGCTGTTTCCATCAGTTATTTTTTATTCTCTTGTGTTAGATTTGAAGTCATTAAAAGTTGCTACTTTAGAATTTCTAGACTGTCTTAAACTTGTCAACAACCTAAGGAAAAAAACTATAACTTCAATTTACTTCTCTAGAAATGAAAAAGTTTCTTCTTTATGCAAGACGTTCTGAGATCCGAGGCGTGGACATTGACAATCCATATGTGAACTTCATCACGGCCTTCACTGTCCCGGATATTGATGATGTTGCTGTAATAGATTTTGATGCCTCCGAGGAACGTTTGTACTGGACAGACATCAAAACACAAACCATAACACGGGCTTTCATCAATGGAACAGGGCTAGAGACAGTTATTTCAAGAGGTAAAAGAATTGTGTGACTCCAACAGTGCTTGTTATTCCATATGCAGTAAAGTTTCCTTTATATTCTCTATTCTTCCTCCACTGTTCAACTCAGCTGAAAGTTGGAATTGGTTATTCAAAGAACCAACCATTTACTACATCTCTACAAATGTCAAATGCCACAGTTAAATCACACAGCACTTTGATAACCAGAAATGTTGTCCCATTCAAAGGCAAAATTCCAGAATAAAAAAATTTTCAAATAAACACATTAAAAAGTTTTTTTTTTCTGCCATGAAACACTACTCCCATGGAGACAGCATATATAGCAGGCACCTGCCTAGTCCTATGAATTAGGCTGTATATCCAAACTTTTCTTTAAAAATATTATACAGCAAAATATTTCTCATAAGCTCTCTGAAAATTCACCTGAATTAACTAAAAGGAAAAAAGGACTAGAAAGATGGGTCAGTGGGTATAAATACTTACTATACTAGAGAATCTATCTCTGAAAGTTGTCCTATGACTTTTAGATGTCTGCTGTGACATATATGGGTTCAGGAGTTTAAATGCAAACATAAACACACACGTGATGATGATGATGATTTCTAAACTATAAAACCTAGCTGGGGCTAAATATCTATGTAAATACAGTGGCTGGACCCTGAATATTAGCTTTGAGTTAATATACTATAATACTATTTCCTTGTACATTGGCTGTTTTCATTTTGTGTCAGCCACTAGCTTGCTGAATGAGTCTTAACCAAGCATTTTACAATGTGACTCAAAACCAGACCAAACTTGCTTTCCCTGCTCTGTAGGCCCCCTTCACTTAATACAGGCATTGCAAGAGGACTGAAGAAAGGGTAACCTTACTCCTACCAACTTGGTCAAAAACCTGCACTTTGAAGAGTACTGAAAATTTTAAATCAAACAGAATTTGAGAAGTGTTTGGTTTTTTGGGGTTTTTTGCATTTTGCTAAATATTTTTATTTGAAAAAGGTTAATAACATGTTTTTAATCCTGTATTTTTAACAGGAGAAGAAATAGATTCTTCTCTCATACAGCACATCAAACCAGTTCCCTTACTTCCTCCTAACTCCCCTAACCTCCCTTTCTCCAGATGATCCATCTTCCCTCTGTTTTCTCTTCAGAGAAGAAAGAGGTGGCTCCAAAGTTCAGAGTGCTTAAAGTCCCCAACTAGAGCAATATAGGATACAGATTCCCAAACCACATTAGGAGCTTTAGATATGCACATGGGTGACACAGGTTGACAACTGATGTGTACCACCTGTATACAGAGAAATTGATATGTGTAAGGAACTTCATGCAATAATGTTCTATTAATGCTGCTAAAACAGCCCTGGAAGTGCCTTTGTTCTGCCTTGTCTGGAGGATGCAGTATGGGTATCACAGTGGTTATGCTGTATCCCTCCCTTCAGTTCTTTTTTTTTTTTTTTTTTTTTTTTTTTAGAAAATACTTGTCTAGGTGAATTAATTTCCGATCCTAACAAGTATGTGGATTAATAGGGGAAAAATACTGCTCAATTTGGACAGGTAGTTGCAATTAAAGTCTGTTAAATGGAAAAATCTTGTGTTTTTCTGGAATATGCACTAAACAAATTAGGATTGGATTCCAGGCCCACCATTACAGACAGAAGTCATGCCCCTCAATGTATACAGCATCTCTTGTATGAGAGCTTTTGGAGAAATGTGTTCACATTCTTGATAGTGCTGTCAACCCATTTTTTAACTCAGGAGGAGCATCATTTCAATGATGATAATGACTTTGTCATGCCTATTACAACTTTACTCCCAGCACTGAAATAAGAAAGTTTTATAGAGAAAGGAACTCATCATATTAGTTCCTCTCACTTCCCTTAGAGTTGGAAATAAATTTGATCACTTCTGACAAATTATTCCTGAATTAATATTCAGTAAGCTAGGGGAAACAAATCAGTAAGCAATGTTCTTCTGGCCTCTGCTTCAGTTCTTGCCTTTAGGTTCCTGTCTTCAGTTTCTGCCCCGACTTTCCTCAGTGGTGGACTGGAACCTGGGAAATATAATATAAAATAAACCCTTTCCTTTGCAAGTTACTTTTGATGAGCATTTTACCATAACTAGAGAGATGCAAACCAAACTAGGGCATGCATTTTGTTGTTGTTCATATTATTTTCTAGAATTTCAGTCAAATGTTTATGTCCTGCCCACCTTTTCCCAAATGATCAATCGGAGGCTTGATGCCACTTATAAATGCTTGCCTGATATCTCAGGATTGTCACTAGCTAACTTTTATACTTAAATTAATCAATATTTTTATTTACCTTCTGCTACATGGCTTGTGACTTTTTACCTCATTTTCTACATGTTCTTCTCCTTTGGTGTCTTGCAGGCTTCACCCCTGACACAGCCTTTCTTCCTCTTCTGTCTCCAGAGTTCTCTGTGTCTTGCTGTCCTGCCTAGCCTGGCTACCAGCCTGTCAGCTTTCTATTAACCAATGAAAGTAATACATATTCACAGTGTACAGAAGGGTTATTTCACAGCAAGAGTTCCTCCTTTTTATTTTATTTTATTTTTCATATATTTTACCCTTTTAATGATGTACTTTCTTTGAGGTTCATGTTGCTTACAATTTTCTTAGATAGAATAAACCTGCAGTCAGCTTTGCCATTCTTGGGAATATTAGGACTTCATGTACACCTGAGTTTGGTGTCACTGTTGCCCACACAGGTGTGTTCTTTCTCTCCAGTGTCCCTCCATTTTATAAATAAAACATGTTCATGTGTTGGAGGAAAAAAAAGGCGGTTAGCTTTAAATGCACACTTCTTTCTTACTGCACGTGCTTCCTCCCCACTCAGAATTTTTTTTCAAACCCCTGGTGGTATTTCAGTCAAGAGCACCATTGTCTTTCTCCTTCCAAAGATGTATATTCATCTGAAATGTGAACAAAGAATTTTCAGACACACTGGCAAGTTTGTGAGAGTCTATCGCACTTTCATGCAAATCTCATTTTTATTGACAGAGAAGTTTTACACGTGTGCTGGACTCAAACAATTCTCCTGCCTCTGTCTCTAGAGCACTGGAGGTATTAGTGGACACTATCAGGCACATCAAAATTTGAGATTTTCAATGAACTTGGAATCTAATTGAATTTTCTTAGGAACTGTCCATTTTGAAACATCACCCACTTTTGTAGCAATTATTTTGTCAGTATGAAGTAAGGCTTTCCTCTCTATATATTTCAAAGTATTGCATGTAGTAGTGGTTGAAATTAATAATTATTTTAAAAATTGGTACAGAGAGAAATAAGGAAAGGACCACAGGTCCAAGTAACATACTTTCTAGGCTTTGAAAACAGTATAAAGCTTGGCTGTGGGACATCTACTGTTTCCATTTCTCATGTTCACTCAGAAAGTTTCAGTAGTAGGATAATAACAATATCTGGGATTTAATAAAAAAAGAAACAAAAAGAAAGGAAACACAAGCAGCTATTATAACAATGCCTACACCTGTCTTTTGAGAATTATGCATCCATAGTTAATGCTGGTAAATGGCCATACAGCCCACTTTTCATATTTAAAATAGAAAAGTGAGTGTGCAATTTCATTCTAATGTTTTGGATTTTTAAAAAGTTCCATAGCATTCTCTAGGTTCTGAACCTGAGGCATTACACTTAAGAAATGTTCTGGATTGAAAAATGAGTATGTAGAGGTATGCATGTATGTATAGAGGTCAGAGGTTAACATCAGAGCTCTCCACTGGTGTTAGGGTCTCACGTGGACATAGAGCTTTCTAAATGGGATACTCTGGCTACCTAGCTTGTCCTGAAGACTTTCTGTCTCTACTACCCACATGCTACGAGTACAGCTAGTATGCCAGCCTTTTCCATATTTAAGTGAGTGCTCTAGACTCAAACTATGGTCCTCCCAGTTGCACATTAACTGAGCCTTATGTCTAGTGATAAACATGTTTTGCTTAACACAGTATCCTCAAGTTCCTTCTGTTTTAGCATATATCACATGTTTGTCTGTTTCAAGACTGAACGGTATTTTAATATGTTTATATACTGCACCTTATTCATTCATCTAGTCATCAACACAGGTTGTTTCTAAATTTGTTTATTGTCAAAATTTGTCATTTTGAGTATCATAATACAAATGTTCTTTTGAGAATTCATCTCTCTTAAGCATGTATTGAAAGTGAAACTACTAGCTATGCACGTTTGCACAGGCCTATAATCCCAGTCTTTGGAGATACAGCAAGTAGATCAGATGTTCAAGATGAATCTCAGCTATATAATAACTTTGATGACAACTTAGAAAGCATGAAATCCTTTCACACAAAATGAGAAAAAAAGTGGAATTCCTGAGTTTTTTTTTTTTTTTTTTTTTTTTTTTTTTTGAATGCCTAAGTTTTACAATAACTCTTTTGTTTTGGTTTTGCTTTGTTTTGACATAGCACCATTCTGTTCCCTCACTGGCTGCCTTTTCGCATTCTTGTCATCAGCGCATAAAGATACCAAGCTTCCCCAATACTTGTCAATTTGCTGTTGTTTTTACATATGCTTTAATTTTAAATATTTGAACTTATTTGAGATGACATATAGTAAATTTATATAATTCTGGGATACCTTTTGCCATCCGAGTACATATATGTATATTACTTAAACCATAGTAAACTTATCTACTTCATGGGATGTATCACTTCTTAATGATGGACACATTCAAAAATTCTTCTAGTTTTTTTTTAATGTGCATTCATTTTCATTACCTATTGAAAACCTTCAATGTAAGCAATTAGAACTTCTAAGTTTAAGAACTATAGTTCTATAGACCAGCTCTTCCAATGCTCCTGTTCACTCTCTACACCCTCTCTGTTAACTGCTACTTAACTATGACCCCAATGAAATCAATAGCTTTAGACTCTGAAAATGAATGAGATCATATGGTACTTAATGTAATAGTCTCCAATTCTATCTGTCTTATAGCAAATGACAAAATTTGACCCTCTTTTGGCTACATGGTATTCCATTATTCATTGGGACCATGGTTTCTTTTAATAGTCATCAGTTGATAACCACTTTTAAGTTTCAATTTCTTGAACCTCATAAATAGTAGAGAATGAATATGAGATTTGAGCTATCTCTTAGGTGCTGGTTCATTTCTTTTGAATAGATACACAGTTGTAGGATTGCTGATTTTATTGTGGTTCTGTTTTTAAGGAGGAAATTCAAACTGCTTATCAAAAGAGCTCTATTGATTTACATTATCGCCCATTGGTGAGCAAGGGTTCAATTTTCTACAAATCCTGCTGTCTTTTTGATAATTGTCAATTTTATTAACTTACATTTTATTTAAAATTTTTCATATGTTATATTTTGATAATGATTTTTACCTTTCCCAACTCCTCCAAGATCCTCCCACCTCCTACCCACCCAACTTTATGACAATTGTCATTCTTATTAGAGTGAAGGGGTATCTGACAATGCTTTAAATTATTTTTTCATTGATGAATAGTATATTTGAGCCCATTTTCAATTTCTTTCAACTTTTTATATTATATAAGAATAAATTTCTATTCAAGAGTTTTGTTAATTTTAAATCAGATTTTGTTATTGTTAGGTTGTAATTTAAGGTGATTCAGTGGAGCACAATATTCAATTCAAGGGTTATTTTTGCTCAGTGGTGTGCCCACTCTTAGCTTAGCTTCACCATTGCAATGAAAACCATCAAGTTTATCTGGGTGGCCTCTGAATTTGTTCACGTGTCTTTGCAATCTTCCCTGCGTCTTCTCACAGCATTCTCAATTTGTCTTTTTATGGGGTTTTGCCTTTTATTATTCCAGTGAGGAAAAACTCCAATATTATCTCAATATTCTTGCTTCTCTTTTTATATGCTGCCCTTTGAAAACATTGATTGAAAATATTAGGTTATTCATTCTGTCTTCCGGACCCAGCTTCTAGCTCCCCATAGTCACTCTGGCTAAACACTTTCTCTTTGCTCTCCAGTTTACCAGATTAACTGTGCTAGCTGCTGTTTTGGGTTATTATACAGTGTTTGAATTTGAGGATTCTTGATTGGTTTGCCCTTCAGTTTTGTTCTTATATTGCATCTGTTTGGCTGTTTCATCATTGTTCTTTTATACTATTACAATGGACTTCACCTGTGGGAATATGACAGATTATTTAGGACATTTCTTCCATGAATTACTAAAATTTATTCTTGGTATAGAAAAATGAGGCTGTTCTAGCTTTCAATAAATTTAACTCTCCCATCTGACAAGTGGATTCCTTGCCAATACCTAGTAGTGCATTGCTAAAGGCATAAACCATAGGAAGATATTCTGACATTTGCATATATTTAAAGAAATAATAGAAAAATCTGGAACAAAATGTTAAGTTTTTCAATAAATCTTCTTTTTTTTATTTTACATATCATTCCCAGTTCACTCTTCCTCCCTCTATCTCTCCCTCCCTCCCACCCCCCTCCACAGGGAGGGTAATGCCTTCCAGGAGGGGTCAACAAAATCTGTCTTTTTAAACACTAAGGATTTTCCAACTCACCTATCACTAATGATGTATACAATCTTTCTAGTAATCCTGTGATCATTATGTCTTACTCTCACAATCATAAGGTACATTGTACCAAACAGCAAAAATGAAAATCCTCTGTGTGGCTTTTGCCTTGATGAATGCCACATTATGAACTCTCACATGCTTATCTTTATGGCTTTAGCTGACATGCATTAGAGAGAGAGAGAGAGAGAGAGAGAGAGAGAGAGTATAACTTACTCATATTTAACTGTCTTGTGATTTTGACATACATTTAAAAATTAAAATTTTTCATATACCAGAGGCTTGTGGTAAAGAAAGACTTTGCAGAATATATCATGAGTTTAGTTCAAAAAAGTTGGACCCCCCCAGACAGAGGAAATTTGAACGGACTTTCTGAGAAACCTGCTCAGAGGTATTGATGTGACTTATTTGAAAAACAGATATTAAGAGTCAAAATATATTGTCTCCATATTTTTATAATAAATAAGAAAGATGCAGTGATTTTTTTTTTACTATTTTTCTTCAAGTCCTTCATGGACAGTTTTAGGGTTCTCTAAAACAAAAACAATGAGTCATGGCCTTTAGCTATAGAAAAACCAGATGAGTAGATTCCAACTGTCAGACTGGTAACCCAAAATGCCATATGGGTCCAAAACAATCACAAGGATACAAGCAATCACAAGGTTGCTCAGATGTGTGCTCAGAATATAAAAAGAAGAAGAAAGGAAGAAAGAGAGAGAGAGAGAGAGAGAGAGAGAGAGAGAGAGAGAGAGAAGAAAAGGAAAGCACCCTTAGCCTCAGGCTCTTCAAACTTCTATTTGAGTTTGTAACTAATTAATATGTCTTATTATGTCCTTAAAATTCCATATTAGACTTGAAGAGTTTAGTAAGTCACTACAAATCTTTTTTTGAGTATGTGCTGCATATCTAAAGGAAATATCCAATATATTGGCAATTTATATTAATATATATATATATTTATATATATATGGAGTTTCTCTTTATTATCAAAGAAGTATACATTCTCTTTGCCATATATATATATATATATATATATATATATATATTTAATTCAATTAGTAAACAATTTAAAATATTCTCAGCATCAGAGAGATAAAAAATTATTTTATAAAACATGTCTTCTAGTAGAACAATATTACATCCTCTAAAGGATTCCCAGAAATCCTGTTTTATTTGTAAGTTGCCTCAGGTTAAGATGAGCAAAGATGCTGAAAAAGAAAAATCTATGTAGCTAATACTGGTAAGAAAGAACTAGTGCCCCAGGGTTAGAGAATGAATACAAACCTCATTCTTTTAATACTGCCTCCCTGCAGTGAGCTCCTGGGGGTAGGGCAGAAGGAAGTACACCCTGAATGAGAAGGAAAGTCTAATTGCAAAGAAGTGTTACATTAGTTTTTTTTTTTCTCCTCTCAAAACCAGGTAAAGATAAGGATGCAATTGTTTTCTATACTCAGAATGTAGAGGTTTAGCAATGACAGTCAAAGGGAAGTCCTACACAGTGAGCAGGCTGAGGATGCCAGGCTGGAAGCAGCTCTGTGAGGGTCACAGGGATTGAAGAAATGCTTCTGCTTCCTGTCCTTGGAAATATAGTAGAGCAGCAACCTTCTCTGTGTTCCACAGTCCCAGCACAGTAATTACTGGACTCCAGGACCTCTTCTTCTTTGTTAGCAAGTTTTGTATGTCTATTTTAATGGTATTCTCCCATTTAAAAATAAACAAACACAGAGAGGGTGGTCAAGGAGCATGGGAGGGAGGGAGAGACAGAGAGGGAGGGAGAGAAAGAGGGAGGGAGGGAGAGAAAAAGAGAGGGAGGGAGGGAAAGGGAACTGGGATCGATATGTAAAATAAGAAAAAAATAAATAAGAAACAAACAATCTAGCTTGTGTTGAGTGGGTAGATGTATTGATTCTATTGAAGAGAAATATCAGCTGCTTGCACTGCAGGTCAGTACCACAGGAAGCTCATGCCTGGGGACTGCCTGAAACCTCAGTACTTTCACTCTTCCTACATTCACACATTCACGGACCAGTCTTCATTTTCACATATCCACCATAATGTTAAGTAACAGATGACCAAAGAACCTTAGAAGTTCTACATACTAGAAAACACCAAAATGGAAAAAGAGGCAAGTCCAGGGGAAAGCTCTCAAATGCCACAAATAGTTACTAACATATTCCTACTATACACTAGTAGTCTTGACAATTTGTAACAGTTCATTTTAGTATGTTTCTCTTTTTAAAATGCCTCTTGTGTTTAAGACACAGCCCCATGCTTTTTTTTCAAGATGCCTGGTTCACTAATGAGAAAACAGCAGTGAGGCGACCCTCTTTAGGTTTGGTCATTACTCAAGAGCCCACATTTGGAGTAATGGTAAAATGACTTGAGTTTTTTTCTCATATACCATTAAATTCCTCCTAATTGTCTGTGTTGAAAGGTGTTCAAGTGTGCTGATTTGGGGGATTATTTCATTTCAAATAAGTAACAAATCAGCACTTAAAGCAACAAACACCCCATGCCTTAATGACACACAGTACATTCTCCTAAGGAGACTTCTGTGGTACCAACTGCAGGAGTTATCATTCTCACTCAAATCATGGTCACCTCTGCCAACAAGACTTTTACTATTGTCTGTTCGGAGAGGTTACTGCTGAATCATTGACTGTTACTCCAATTTTCATGATAATTGTTGCTTCAGGATTCCTAATTCTTCAGCAGTTAGACATTAATGATTATGTGTGCCCTAAGAAGTGTTGATAAGGGAATGAGATTACAATCTTGTACAATTTTAGCTGACAAATTAAAGTGTAAATTAGGTTTTCCCTTATACAGAAAATAACTTACCTAAGGAGCCAAGTGTATGTGAACCTGCGGTCACTCTCCATTTTCTTTATCCTGTTTTGCAGATACTCAGAGCATCAGAGGGTTAGCAGTGGACTGGGTTTCACGTAATTTATACTGGATTAGCTCAGAATTTGATGAAACACAAATTAACGTGGCCAGGCTAGACGGCTCTTTGAAAACCTCAATTATCCACGGAATCGATAAGCCACAGTGCCTGGCAGCTCACCCAGTCAGGGGGTAAAGTATGATTTTTTAAAAAAAATTTACAACAGTTTATCTCAGATTTTACATGAAATGATTGTTTAATTCAGATGATACATATATTCAGGATAGAGTCAAAATGTAAATGAGAGTATGGAAATTGTTAAAGAGATTCAAAGTCCTGGTCAGAGATTTCTGTCCAAATGACATGCAATTTATAAGCTCTCATTAGTGTATGTTTCTAGGGAATGAGAGTTTAGAACAAAAAAGAGTTGTGGAGGAAAAGCAATTTCATTTTGAATGCTGGGTTTGAAAATTTCCTTACTGAGTGGACACTGCAAAGTCAGCCTGCTCCTGTCTCTGGAGAGTCTAGGCTCTTGTGTGATACCACAGTTTTCAGGAATGGTTGAAATGAGTTTCTTCCCATCTACAGATTCTAATTCCTTCTCAGCCTAGAGGATTCAGATTTGATGAAGAACAAAATGAGAGCAGTTTGCTATAGTCTTGGTTAAGCATCAGATTTGGATGTAGAAGGAACATAAGAATAAGATAAAATTGTTCAAAGAAAGAAAAAGGCAAAAGAGATGCTTTCCTCCTAGGAAAATGCACAGGAGCCCAATAATTTTAGGACTTTTGGAAAAATAATTAATCTTGTGCCTAGAATGTATCTTCTTATTTCATTCTTTGCCATATGCTGCCTTTTAACAAATGCATTTGAATATAATATTTAATCCATGTATTTTGAATTAAGGAAACTATACTGGACAGATGGAAATACAATAAACATGGCAAATATGGATGGGAGTAATAGCAAGATTCTCTTTCAGAACCAAAAGGAACCAGTTGGTAAGTATTTTTTAAATATTAATAGTAACTAGAGACTACATACTGGAACTAAACACCAAAAAGATTACAGACTAATAATATAAATTATAGAATTGATTGGCTTCATGGACTCTATTTTCTCTGTATGAAATTCCTTAAACTCCCTTAGCATACAGACTGTCTGAGTGTCTCTGGAAGCTTCGTATGTACAAATTGTGACATTTGATGCTTGCACTTGCTCCCCTCCCTTCCCTACTCTGCCACTCTCCTCCTTCTGTTTTCATGTGTTTTGTTAGAGTACCCTTCCCCTCTTATCTGAGTTAGGGATTCTAATATTGCACTCAAAGCCAGAACTATAAGCAACTTGCAGAGGAAAGGAGTTATTTCACTTTCACTTTTACATCACAGTCCATCATAAAGGAAGTCAGAACAGGAACTCAGGACAGGAAGCTGGAGGTTCCAACTGATGCAGAGGGCATGGTCAGGTGCATGTAATTAATTTGCCCTATAAAGCTGTTCAGCTTACTTTCTTATACATCCCAGGACCACCTACTCAGGAGTGGAACCACCCAGAATGGGCCATGCCCTCCCCTATCACTCAAAAATTATGAAAACACACTACTAGCTTGCCCACAGGCCAATCTGGTGGGTTCATTTTCTTAACTGAGCTTCTATCTTTTCAAATGACTCTAGCTTTGGTCAAGTTGACAAAATCCAACTGGAACTCCTCCCTTTAGACCAATTTCTTAACCCTTTCTACTTTCAGGTCACAAACACATAAAATGACTTCTACATATGGGAAAATGTGATATTTATCTCTGTGAGTCTGGCCTGTTTCTCTCCATAATGATCTTGGGTTCTATCTTTTCCCTTGCAGATGTCATGATTATATTCTACATAAAGCCATAAAGTCTGAATAAATTTCTGTTCTATTCATGTCTCACATTTGCTTGACCAGTTCATCTATTGATGAACCTCTACCCTAGTTCCTTGTCTTAGCTATTGTGAATAGTATAAGCTACAAATAAGTACAGATATATAAGTATTGCAGTGCTATGCTAACATAACGTCCTTCCTCTACATGCCCAGGACTGATATGGCTGAATCATACAATAATGCTCTTCTTGGTTTTGTTTTTTCTAATTTGAATATTGTTCATTTTATCTGTGTACATATGTGTTCATGTGTGAGGGTATGTATATTGACAGCAAGTGTTTGCATATAAATGTGGAAGCCAGTGATCAACCCCATCTTTTACTTTTTAGAAATGGTCTACTTTGTGTCTGAGGCTACGAACTGAGGGTTCAGTGGATATTAGGCTGAAAGATCAAGGAGCCCTGAGACTCTGCTTGTCTTTTCCTCAGCTCAGAGATTACATGGGGACACCACCATACCTGGCTTTTTAGATGGGTGCTGAGGTCTTAATGTTCATGAGGCAAGAGCTTTACTTGCTGGGCCATCTCCTCATCTCCTAAAGGGATTTTAATTTACATTTTTTCCATGGTTAAGCATATTGAACATTTTTCCCCACTCTTTGTTCTTTTTCTTATTTCTTCTCCTGAGAACTATTGTCTCAATTTATTAGGCTATGAATTGATGAAATATTTTGGCTATTTTTTTAATATTGGAGTTTTGAAGTTATTTACATATTCTATACAATAACCCCATCTAATATGTAATTGACATATTTTTTTTCTTTCAAAGTGTAGCTTTCTCTTCACTCTGACAGTTGTTGCCATAGCTATGCAAGAGCTTACCAGTATTATTAACCTTATTTATCAATTCTCAAGGTTATTTCCCTTTCAGAAGGTCCTTGACAAGGCCTACACCTGATGCTTTATTTATATTTCTTCCTAGAAGTTCCAGAATTCTGATATTACATTAGTATCTTTTTATGTATTTTGCATGCACTTTGTACAGGGATATGGACGCTCTACCAGTCTTCTGTACTTGACTATTTGGTTGACACACTTGTTGAAAGGGCTGTTTACTTCCCAGTGTATGCTGTAGGTAAAGTATGTTTTAACACAAGAAAGTTCCCCATGACTCCACCAAAAACCACTCTTTAGACCTGTAATATAACTTTAGCAAAATAAGAAGATAAATCAAGATATAACAGTCAGTAGCTTAGAAAGTTCTTTCTAACACAACCAATGAGAAGACTCAACTTTATGACATTGAAGAAAGGAACTGAAGAAGAAGAAAGATGGGTAAACTTTTCATATTTATGTAGTTAATGACCAATAATGTAGAATAAACTTATGGCAGAAGTGACCTACATATTTAATATAGTTCCCATCAAAATTCCCATTACATTCTTCATAGGACTAAAAAGTTAATCTGAGAATTAAAGCAAATCAAGGAGGAAAGGAAGAGCTAGATATATCACTGTGCTCAATACAACAACAAAACTGCACAGTGCTAATACAAAATCCAAAACATAGATCAATGGAAGAGAATAGAGATGTATAAATAAACCTACTAAATTATTAATGGCTCTTTCATTGGGTCTAGGATCCTATTTAGCACAAGAACTAACTAAAAAGTGAAAATTCTAAAAGTTTGTTTAAATTCTCATTAACATGTGGGTCTTCTGGTGATCATGAAGTCCAAACTAGTGTCCAAAAATGATACTTAGTGTTAGACAAAGAACAGACAATTTGGAAGGAATGCGTAACTGGGGAAATCTGTGCCAGGGCAGTGCTTTGGCTTTTCGGATGTATTTCTAACAGATATATGTAGATGGGACATATGAACAGAGGACAACTCAGAGTTTATTTACTCAGAATTATTGTAACCGAGTTTGCAATTTGTACTGATCAGATTCCTTCCACCTTGATGCATAAAGGATAAGTGTCATCAGGCACTGTGTATGGAAGCCTTGCTGCACGAAGGATAAAATAGATCAGCAGTCCCTGTAAAGAAACCCAGCTTCTCAGATGATTTTAAGTAGAAAAAATTGGCAAATCACTTCATCATATTTTCTCTGAACTACATCAGAGGCAAGGAGGGAAGGCACTTGGCACTGAGACAGAAAAACAAGTCTTTTAATCTGATTTTTTTGCATGTTAAATACTTGATTTGTTAAAGCAGAAAAATTTTTTTCATGTTTAACATTGATATTATAAATTGTATTCAATATTCAATATTATAATAGTTTATTTGGTCTTACATTGCAAAATATAGGAATGTGCTCACATATATCAGTACATGATGGTGTGGTAAAAATGAGTCAGGGAATTTTTTTGTCTTACAGTTATGTATTATGGTTTCTGAATTTATTCTTTTTTGTTTATTTTATATAACCAAGTCCATTTAAATGAAAACAAACATTTATAGACAATATTTGGGAATTTGGGCATCATTCTTTCCAAACTACTTCTTGCTGGTAAGGGGCGCTGTCATGGGGGATTCTAAGAAGATGCAGAAATCATGGCTGTAGTCTGCAAGGCTGCTTTGTCCAGCTGTTTTGAATGTAGGATCACCTGGTACTCTGTTTCAGGCGGTCTGGCTTGATCAAACCACATTAGTCTGGAAGGAATCCACAGCTTTTCATTTTCTGTGGAAACAAAAATAGAAATCCTTTTCCCCAGTAACTTGCCCTTGAACTTAAATTTTGGAGTCAAAGCTTTTTTTTTTTTTTTATTTAATTTATTATTTTACCTGTCGATCCCAGTTCCCTCCCCTCCCTCCCTCCCTGTTACCCTCTCTGCCCTCTCACATGCACCCTAACCACCCTCCACTCCCATCCCCCCACCCCATTTCCATATGTAGGGGAATGCCTTCCAGTTGGGGTTATGTAGATCTGACAGGTCATGTGCAGTAGGGATTAGGGCTTCTCTCCTGTTTCTAGGTTAAGGCAGTTATCCCTCCATGGGGGATTTGTTCTCAATGTCCTTTTGTGAACTAGGGATACATCCTGGCTCCACTGTCTGAGCTCCCTTAGACTGCTCAGTCCTTCTGGCTGAGAAGCATATTCAGGGGGTCCTGAGTCCATCCCATGCTGACTTCCCAGCTATCAGTCTGCAGAAAAATGTGGGCATTACTGAGCTGTCCCTATAAAACATTCTTAAAATATCAAAAAATTATTGTAGTACATATATATATGTATATATATATATTTATGTATTTTAGAAGGTACCAAGTATATGTCTGTACAAATATACTTTCATTACCTTCATGTTTCACCTTACATTTTTATATATTTGTGAGAATAGAATTGTAACTTTTTTATAATTTTATAGCGCCTTTTCAAAAAGTCATAATAACTTGACTTTGCTTTTATTTTAATTATGAAATAACAAAATATACAATAAAAATTCAGTTTGACCTTAAAAAAATAATTTTAAGTTAAAAACATTAATATAACCTGAAGCTTTTCATCAATAGCTTCATTGTTTCTTCGTTTTTAAGAATATGTAAATACACTGACTTGATGCAGCTCATTCTCTATAGTAATAAGTTAAAATAGAAGCAGTACCACAAAGGTTTGAAATCATGCCTTTTGTGTAACCTTAAACAAATCTTTTGATGTAAACAATATAGCTACTAGTTCTCTTCTTTGTATTATTTGTTTTGAGATTTGTACACAGCTGAAATTCAGGCTAGTGTTAGAAGTCTAGGGCATACTGAAATGTAAATCCTTCTGTGACAAAGACAGAGCAGAGGAAATGGTTTCACAAGGTCTGACTCCACACACAGGACTCTTTTTAGATGGAGGAGGCTCAGCTGCTGTTTTTTAGGGCCAGCCCAGAATGTTCAGGACTGAGAGCTCTGATGAGAAATCAATCTTTACACTATAATTTAGGAATCATGGTTTACACCAAAATACAAATGTGTGTGCTTGTTTCAGTACTGAAGACTTTGCCTTAGCCAGACCGCTTCTAAAATATTGAAGTAAAAATTCCACAAAAGTTTGCATGTTATAAAGAACATTCATCTAGAAGGGTGAGAGGAGGGCAAGAGGGAGAATTTGATTGAGTCATAATGACCGAGATTGGGGGAGTGGAGGGTCTCTATTT